AAAAACCCTGGCGCACTACTACAAACTGCAGAGATAGGGGGCATCAGCTTTTCCATCAACACGAGCCAGTGGGGGCTGGCCAGAGTAAATCGTATCCTTCTTTGCTCAATGGGCATGGAGTGATTCAAGAAGACTGCAATGCCTTCTTGTACTCAAAAAGTTAAAATCAGGAATCCTCTGAAGGGAGAAGAATCTGAAGATTTATAAGAGCAGCTACTAAAAGCCCCATTAGGACCCTCTCTAAACTCTTCCCATTTAAGCAGAGAGGCAAATAGCCCCCACTGGTATTTATATTTAGAATGGGCTGGAAGAGAGGAAGAGCCCACATCGGAGCACTGAAGGTCTCTGACATACCCATAACATAAATCATTTCAGGGTGAGGCTGTCACAGTGCATCTTCTGCTCTGCCCTTTAAATGGATTGGACCCCAACATCACATTCTCCTCAGGGTAGGGAGTGGGGGGGGGGGAGTTTCATGGAGAACAAAGAAGTCACCACTTCCTTTATCCCCCCACGAAAGACAGATGTAGTAAAAATATCTGCAGAGTAACATTCACTCACTTTAAAATACCGAACTGCAAAAAGATAGACGGAATGATAATGTTTGTGAGCCCCTAAATCTACAAAAAGATGTATCTGTTAAAAAAACATGGAAACGAGTCTATTAAAGAAAGGCTAAGTGTGTGATTGATTGCACTCACATGTGCTCTCATTTGTAAAGCTACATTTATTTAGTGATTGCATCCTTATATAGAAAATCTGAATAACGGGACAGTTCTCTCTTTTTTTTTTTCCATCTACCAAGTCATTGTTTCAAATAAAAAAAAAAAGATTTATGGTAACTGAAGAGCACACAAATAACATACAAAAAAAAAAAAAGCCAGCTATTTTATCCTTTCAGTGTGGTTAGCAAGGCTCCTTTGTGTCTACAAATTTCCCTGGGTGGTGCTGTTGCCAAGAAATTCTAATTCATGACAAGGTTTTCTGCAAATTGGGGATAGAGGCAAACCTGCAGATGCAGGGACCCTACAGTTTGCTTTGTCTTTCTGGCTGAGACAGCACCTGGCTGCTCAGGCCTATAGAAGGCAGTGCAAAGGCAAGATCACCAGAAAGAGGAAGAAGCAATGTAGCTCACAGAACAAATCCCATCCCTTGTATCATGAGGCTGTTCTTGGAAGGCAACCATTTTTGTAGGTTGTCCCCTAGAGATGCCTCATATCAAAGGCCTTGTAAAAAGCGTTCCAGGGTGCCTGAAACCAAGATGAAATTGCAGTGTTATGGGGACACTTTAGTTCCTACAGTAGCCAAGTATGCCATTAGTTTAAAACAATGGGGGAATGGGGGAGGAGGGAGGAATGTTTTATGATTTATTTATTTGTTTCCAGTAGCAGTGGAAAATTTTCTCTGAGCAAAAAGGAGGCCTGAAACTGACCCCATCTGCCAATTATGAATCAGCATTAACAACAAGCATAATTCCGTAAGAGTTTTCAAGTAACCATGCCATGCTCCTCAATGGCATGCAGCAAAGCTGCGTGCAAATAAGATTCAGAACTTCATTACTTGACCTGCACTCGTGAAAAGAGCAGACTAGGTATACAAAATCTATCGAAATTCTAAGACTTTGTAGCTTCTTGGAGAAAAATAACCAAGGGTATCATATCAAATTCTTTTTATTTTCCAAGTCAGCAGTGGGTCCAGAAAACTCACAATTTCTACTGGCAACAAAACTCATGAATGTGTTTCCCTTTATCCATCATCAAGTGGCACCCTATAAACTACTCCGGCTTTTGTCCTACGTTTGACTTTTTCCTACTTTTGCTCAGACAGCTCTTGGAAAATTTCCTGCAAGTTTCCGAAGAACTTAAGGCTGGTAGCCTTAAGAGTTGTGCGTCAGCTGAATTCCATAAAATAATAGACCACATAAGCACAGTGTAATTTACAGTTATATGACAGGCAGAGATGATGTTACTTGGGCCAAGTGCTTAAGTATGCAGTCAGAGCCCAGGAATGGAGAGCTGTTAATGTAAGATGTCCATCTGGATTTTAAAATTACATCGGCAATGGTTTTCAGAGTTGGAGCTGTATGTTGCGAAAGACGTCACTGCCTGAAAGCCCAATGTCAAAATGACGACCCCCGTGACAGGAGGACCATCCCAAGCTCACTGACTGTTATGCAGGACAATTACCCCAGGCCACAGTTTAAAATAAAATCCCCAAAGAGTCCATCCTTAATTTTCAAATGCACAGATGTTCTTGGGTTTATCATCCAAGCCACTCTTTCTCTACAAACCAAATCAGATTATTGGAATCTCTGTATTTTGCTCATCTCCTCAAGGCCAGGTACACTGTTCACTTTCAGAGAACATCTAATAATTGCTCCTCATCTGACCTCTAAAATCTGATTACCCCAGAGCATCAGGAAACTTCTTCCTGTCTGGGGGTTCTTTGTAGCAATCTTCTTAAGCCATTTTGAGCAAAGGAGTCTCAAAATTTCACCATCTGATGGTTGACTTGGTCCTGTCAGTTGCATGTAACCATCCCCCCTCCTTACACTGAGAAGCGGGGGGGGGGGGGGGGGGACCAGAGAGGGAGGAAGGAAGAGATGGAGGTTCGAGGTTTTGCCATCAGCTTGAACTTAGAGTCTCAGTCACCTTTCAAGAGCGCGGTTGTGACTACAGAGCCCGGAGCAGAAAGCTCCTTGGAGTGATATCTTATTTAGGAGTGCTTCCCCACAACTTATGTTTCAGTGTGACTGTGAGCATGCCTCTCAAATAGCTTGGCAAAGAGTTTTAAGGTAAGAGTAGTTGCCAGTTGGGGAGGGTGAAGGCAAGAAGTAAGGAGGGAGGTGTGGGGAAGTGGGGGGTGAGATTCCTTGGCCTGAAGATAGAAACTAAGCTAGAGGTTCCTTGATGGAGGCAAGTAGAGAGGAGGAGGGGAAAGGAAAAGCACAGGAGGCTTCGGAGGAAACAATAGATCTAATACATCCCTAATTATCAAACCAGTGATGTTTCTTTACAGATCCAGACTCTCTCCTGGATGGTCTAACCAGATCTAGAAAAGCAGGTTTCCTCTGGAGAGGCCTTCTCCAAAAGCAGGCTTTACTACTGTGAAAACTTGAACCAAAACAAAGTTGTGTGATTCATCAGGAGGGAACGCTGTAACAAATAAAGCCAACTTTCTTCCCTCCAACACTGCTTAACAGTTAGTCACAAACAAGGGCTGCCTTGGGCAGGCTGACTAAATCAACAGATTCCCTACCCTAACCTGTCTAGACAGTTGTTAATACGCAACCAGTTTGACACCAGTGGGCTGACAATGTGAAATGAAAGCTATTTCAGAAAATGAAATTCTAGCAACATTTTGGCTTCATTAGCATGTGAAATAAAAGGAGGAAAAGATCTAGTGAGACCCTTCATGAGACAGCCTCATTAGGGATGGGGAAAGGATGCACTGAAGAAATGCCTTGCACTAAGAACGCGTGAACTATGTGTGCACTCAGAGACAAAGTCGAGGGTCTCTGCCAGCATCCTTGGGCAGCAACGGATGGTGGCTACACAGACAGCAGAGGCCAGCACCCGGAGGAAGACTCACCGCCTCTAATCAGGGGAGAAGAGCAACTAGTAACAAAGGTACAGTCAGAGGATCAGCTTTGCCACTCTGCTCCCTATACCCAAAGCCAAACCTCACTCGCTAAAGCAGCAACTGTGACATCCCAGCCTCAAGCTGGCAAATCCCGCTTTGGATCCTGGCAGAAGAAATTCAGCCGTTCATTAGCCTTAACAAGCTGCTGTCACTGAGCGAAGTTACATGAACAGCCACACACCAAGCCTCTCGCAGTCCTCCCCAAGGGCAGGCTGGTTTCTTCAAGACGGACTGTGCGGGTTCACACTTCCGATGTGCAAATCCAGACTGTCTTCTTGGATGTTCCATGGTGCACACTGGAGTATTTTTAAAGAATACCCATACCCCCCTGCCCCCCACCCACCATCTTTCCTGCAGTGTGTCCCTTCAGCAGTTCCTAATCCTTGCTGAGAAAATGACTGTTTCCGCAGCAGATCTAGCACTTTCCACTGACCAGCACTTTCTTTATTCGACTTCATGAAGCCCAGTGAACTTGTCACCAGACCCACTTTGCCCTCAGTGGGACGCCTAGCCAACTTGGCATCAGTGCCCTTCAGCATCAGAGGAGTTTCTTAACTAGTCCTCTAAGACAAAGTCAGAGGCATGGAAGCACACACCACCCTTTGTCAGAGGCTGTGTGCCTTCTAACCAGGGAGGGACCCCAAACAAAAAAGAGAAACAAGGACACACATAGAGGCATTGCGCTGGGGAAATCTACAATGCATGGTCAGCGTTAGATAGATATATCTTCCCTTCCTCCTCCTAGATATCCTTGAGTATCTTTTGTCACTGGGCTCCTCTCCCTTCTGCCCACCTTCTCATCTCAAAATCAAGTTTCTATCTTTTATTGTCACGCGCTAATTACTGGGAAAACACTCCGCTATGCTCCTACCTCCTGACCCCCATCTGACGGTCTTCAGCACCAGCTGAAGGAACTGAACCTGATTTAAGGTACCAAGTAGGTAGAGCTCAGGCATGTAGGGACGCAGTATCCTGTCATCAGTAGCTCATAAAGCCCCAAACCACCTTCCCACCCGGTTCCCCCGAACCCCAGAAGTTACGCAGGTCTGTGCTGGGGACAGTGAGCCCGACAACGTGTGCGCAAGGATGTGTGTTGGTGACTGAAACGCAGGCAGCTCAGACCGGCTGCTCAGCAGCTCAGACCGGCTGCTCAGCTCAGCACACTAAGGGGTTAGAGGGTGGTTGGAGAGGTAAGCGCAGATGACTGTTTCCGAAAACATTTTAAACAACAAACAGCCAAAAGGGGGGGGGGGGGATAAAACAAACAAACAAAAAATTCAACCCCAAGCCCACACCAACGCAGCCCCTGCGTCTCCGCCGCCACCACACGATTTACACAAGTAATTTAAATCATTCACCTGCTGCCAGGTCTCCTCCAGGGATGGCAAAGCTGAGAAGTAGCCGGTGTCGTGGACAAGTTGTAGCTCCTGGAATATACTATAACTAGCCAACACGTCCATGCTGCTGCTGCCGGGCAAAACGGGAGGAGAAACCCTCCCCCGAACACAGTTGGGTCTGTTTGTTTGTCAGTCTGTCTGGCTCACCCCCCAAGAAGGCAGACATCCAGTGGCCCTTTTGTTTTGTTTTGTTTCAGTCAACTAAAAAGGAAAAAAAAAATCAATGCAGGAGAGAGAAAGAGAGGAGGTGAGAGAGGAGAGAGTGAGTGGGGTGGATGGAGAGAGGCATCCAGCATGTACAAGTGCAGACGGCTGCCAGGAAAAGGGGACTTCTCCACGGGAGTAACAATTCCCTTCCAGGGCTCTAATCACTCCAGCTCGTGGATCAGGAAGGGGGATGCAAACTCACTGACACGAAGCTGCCATCTATTTCTGCAGCGCTGTTCGCTCCTAATGCAATCTTTGCGCTTTATTTTGGGAGGTTGCATTTTTTTTTTTTTCTCGCGATCGCTTCTCTCCCCCCCTTCCCTTCCCTCCCCACCCCCCACCCCATCCTTGCTAGTTTGTAGTCTCTCCCCCCCTCCTTTTCTCCTCCTCCTGCTCTTCCTCCTCCCCAAACTCCCCCCTCCGCCCGGCTCTCCGCGCAGCCGTGGGATCTCGGAGGAGGGCGTCCATTAGGCCGCGTGTGACCATGTAAGGTAAACAGGGGGCTCATGAAGTCACTGAGGACCAATGGGGAGCGCGGAGCGGGGTCCGGGGCGGGGCTTGGCTCTGGCGGCGAGCGCGGATTGGCAGACTGCAGATCTCCCTGCTGCCTTACAAGGCGGCGCGAGGCGAGCTATTTTTAGAGGGCTATATAAGGGGGCTGAGGCGGCTGCGCGGCGGCCGGGGAGCGCGAGCGCGAGGGACGGGGAGGGCCGCGGCGACACTCACGCCGGCTCCTGGGACGCTGAGGCGGCCGGGCTTGGGCCGAGCGCCGGCCTCCGACCCTCGCTCCGATGCCTGGTGGAGCCCCGGGCGCCTGGAGCTTGCGTCCCTCGGAGGGGCGGGGTCGCGTGTCGCCGTCCTGGCGGGGACGCGGCCGGTCTGGAGGTGAAAGTCCAGACTGCGGGGTTAGGATGCCTCCTGGAGGAGGAGCGGGGCGGGAGCCCGGCGGAGCCGCCGTCGGGGGTGGGGGAGGAGGCACTGACACTTCCCACTCCGCCTCGCTCCGGGGCCCGGGGGTGGAGAGCCGGGAGGGAGAGGCGGGCAAAGGCGGGCCTCACTTACTAAGAAATAAACCGAGAAAAAAAAAGGCACCAAAAGCCCCTTCACAAAATGCCCACAGGCTGCCAGGGCGCAGGAAGAAGCGCCCGAGGAGGAAGTGGCACACAATGGAACCGAACAAAGGAGAGCGGCGCCGAGAGAGCGACCTGCGCCCGCCCCCCCCTCCCCGCCCCGCTCGCGGCGCGCAGTCCCCGCCTCGCCAGCGCCCGGGTGCGCGCCACCACCCGCCGGCCCTGCGCTGGGACCCCGCGCGGGGGGCCGCGCCGGGAGGCAGTCTCCCAGTTAGAGTTGATCGAAAAGGGACGTTTCGCTGGAGTGCGAGTCAGAGAGAACGGAAGGCGCCCGGGTAGACGCAGGGGGCAGGCAGAAGCCGGCAGCTTAATGGGGAGGGAGGGGGGCTCAAACCTGAGGCTCCCCAAGTGGCTGCCGAGCTGCGGTGGTGAGGGGCGGAACCGGATCGGACTCTGGAGCTGGCATATAGAAATACATAGACAGATACTCCTATCTCTTAGATGAAAACCTTGCACAACGCACTTTTTTTTTTTTTTTTTTTTTCCTTTTTAGGGTCGACCAGTTGTGTGCTTGACCTTATGTGGTTAGTGTCATTCAAGTTTCCTCAAAATGCTCTGTGAGCTGAGCTTACATTTTTGGAATGACTGCAGAATTCGGTACTTACTCAGATGAGAAACTTAATTCTACCCGTAATGAAAGAAACACATCGACCTTAATCGCCCTTCTCAGCTTTCCCTCCTGAGTATGTGGGATTCCATATCAGAATATTTGCAAAATTCTGCTTTATAGAACGAGCACAGTTCGAAATCAGTACTTGCCAGGGGAAATTAAAAAGGAATTACTGGGTTTGAGGAAAGTCTAGTTTATTTACTTTGTGATGTCTGGAATTCTGATGGTCAGATCTACAGCATCCATTGTAGGAATATAACTGGCATATTTGCTGGAGTTTATGTGCATGGGATGTGCAAAGATGTTAGTGCATTTAATATTATGTAAGCGCATTTGTGGTGCTAGGGGATAAATGGTATAAAAAGGTTAAACGTCATACATGGGTGGCTCAGTCTTGAGCGTCTGCCTTCAGCTAAGGTCATGATCCCAGGGTCCTGGGACTGAGCCCCATATCAGGCTCCCTGCTCAAAGGGAAGCCTGCTTCTCCCTCTCCCACTCCCCCTGCTTGTGTTTCCTCTCTCGCTGTGTCTCTCTCTGTCAAATAAATAAAATCTTTAAAAAAAAAAAAAAACACAAGGTGATATCATGCTAGCACACATATGTGTTAGCACCAGTATGAGAAGGCCTCTCTTTGAAAGGCCAGATGGGCCTTTCCCAGAAGTAGAAGTAGATGGGCCTTTCTTAGAACCATCATATCCCAATTAATGCATTAACTTGATCCTTATGGTCACTCGTGCTGATGCTTACTCGCCATGTGACTTTGAGCTTACTGGCTCAGACCCTCTAATTATCCATCTCAGAAATATAAAGAGTGGTATCTGCCTTGCCTGGTTGTTATGAAGAATCAAAGTAACATTTGTAACTCACCTAGCATTGTATATGGTCTATTAGGTAGATACTAAACGTTAACCATCATTATCTCCTGGTTTTAGCTAAGTAAACTAAATAATATATCTGAGCTAATCAGACCCATGGGGGGACATACCAGAGTCTTAGAGAAAGAGGAAAGGTAGAAGCCCTTTGCCAATTTGTAATAAGTATTACAAATGTAATGTTCCTATTGTGTGGGGGGGAGAGAGAAGGGGAGGATGGGGAAGAGACCATTGAAAAGCCCTGGTGTAGAAAACAAGTTCTTGAGTGAATAGGAAAGGAAAGAAACTTAAACTGGGAACTCAAGAGGCAGAAGGCAAGGCAAAGCCAAAGCATATAATTTGATGTTTGAACTCAAGTGAACTTAATTTCTGTTTTTTGTGTTACACCATTACCATTTTTGAACAAAATATGACATTCTTGTTAACTTGTAAGTTTGAAGATTTTACAGGTAATAGTTAACTAGTTAAACACTTCCAGTGTGCCAGGCTGTATGGACACATAAACGTTTTTTATACACAATGTCTCGTTTCACCCTCATGACAACCTGAGGTAGGTACTTTTGTTACCTCCAGCTTTATGGATGAGAATACCCAGGCTTAGAAATATTAAGTTGGTCAAGGTCACACAACTAGGATGCAGCTGAGCAGGGGTTCAAATCCAGAAGCATGTGACTTTCAAGACTGTGCTTTGCATGGGGATCTCTGTGTGGGGAAAGCCTTTAAGTTTCTTGTTTTAAGTCAAGATTTGTTTATAAAAATGCTTGGGTGTGGAAAAGGGGGGCTTCCTTTGAGGTTTTTCTCCATGTAAATGTCATTCATCCAACTTAAAGAAGAACTCAACCAAAATCTTACAATATAAATCCTGAAGACCTCATTTTGACATTTTTCAAAGCTTTATAGAATATTTTAGAATTCTTTCTAAGAGATTTATGCAGTGAGGCACTCCTAAAGTCACATTTTCAATATCAGTCATATTTAGCTACTTTTTATAGCCTAAAGACCCTAGGTTCTCATTGCAAAACACATGCAAAGATTCCGAATGTACAAAATAATCAACAAATTAAGATCACAAGGGAAATTTGGCAGTCAGACAAACCAAAAATAAACAGCATGGCTTTAAGTACCACATATTGAATGCCTTCTCTGTACCTGGCATTTTGTACATGTTCTCATCTGGTCTTCACCACAATCTTGTGACAGAGTGATCATTGCTCCATTTTCACAGATGAAGGTATCAAAGTTCAGAGAGGGCACATAATTTGCCCATTACCGTAAGTCTGTTAAGTGGCAGAAGCAGATTCAAATATAAGTCTGAATCCAAGATGACTCCAAAGTCTGTGTCCTCTGCATATGTTACCTTATAAGACACTAATATTACTTTTAATAATATCACCCTTTGGAAGTTATCCCACAGGAAATACCTAAGAGTAAATAATGCTAACACCTCCTCCCCCGGCAAAACTAAGAAATGGAACTATTTTATGAACAACATAGTAAAAATGTAATATGTAAATAGATACAACCAAGACATCAGATTGTTTCTACTAGAAAAGTCTGATTCATTAGTACAGGAAGTCCTGATTAGCACTGTGTGATTAGCACTGTTAAAGCCTCCTTAAAATAAATCTATTTAAAACAGGGACTAAATTTCAGAGCAATTGGTGAAAAGTGGACTTTATTTGAAAATAAAACTCAATGTTATTAAAATACATTTAGTCTATCTTTTATGGAACAAAATTTATGTTGTAAGTCCAACTGTGTGCTAATTATGGAATGAATAAACAATAAACTAAGAAGATTATTGTTGGCTTATTTTTTTTTTTTAACAAATGTGAAGCACCTTACAACATGCTCTATTTCATATTTGACTTTTACGCCATAATCAAAAAGAGGGTTGTTTGGTAAAAATGTTTGAGGGCTTCATCAGTTTTCCCAGGGGTCTCATTTGTTTTTTTAATTTTCAAAGTATTTTCTTCTCTTCTTCTGAAGCATCAATATAGTCCTCATCCCTGTTGATTTTACTTTCACTTGTTTGTTTAACTCTATAGACCCTCATTTGCCAGTTGCTTTACCAACTTCACTCTCATTGATACCATGAAACCTTACACCTTTTGCAAGATTTGCAGTTTCACTTTGCAATACAACTGAATTTATTTGCATTGGATTATAAATGTTTACCACCATGGGGGGTGGAGGAGGGGAGTCTAATGTTTAAAAGATGTTTGAACGGTAACTAATTTGTAAATGGTCATATCATTAATAAATATTTTCATCTACTTATGACTTTTGCTTCCCTTCACAATCTCACTACAGTGAAAGAAGTGTGAACTTAGGGAGCATGCTTTGATGATATCACAGAAAACAAGCATGTCAGAGAGGTGGAGGTTAGTAAATAAGACTGGGAGACACAATTTGAATCTGGAAGAAAAAGTATGTGGCCATATGTGTCATTCAGTGAATGATGTACATATGTACATATAACCAGAGAGTTGTTTCATGCTTGAAAAAAAAAAAAAAGGCACCTTCATCAGGCCTCTCATGTCCTGGATAAAATATTCCTCGAGGATAGACATCTCCTTTTGTTTTCATTCTGTACTCACTTTCTGCTCATAATTTGGTTTCCCACTTGTTCTACCTGCAGGGAAAGAATGTACTGGCTACCACCACAGGAGCCTGGTGCTCATTGTGACAATTTTGGTTGTTTTGTCAATACAAAGACATTTTAGTTATAATTGTATTTTTTGTGAGTACAGTTAGCATGGGTCTGGCTCCCTGGATGTGTTCAATATGGAGACTCTGACATGTTGAGGTTTCTGGACATGATGGAAAGAAAGAAAGAAAAGAAAAGAGAAGAAGGAAGGAAAGAAGGAAGGAAGGAAGGAAGGAAGGAAGGAAGGAAGGAAGGAAGGAAGGAAGGAAGGAAGGAAGAAAGAAAGAAAGAGAAAGAGATCTTTGTCTTAATGAATTAACCAAAAACTCTTGGCAGGTAGTTTACTGATCTCCAGAAAACATGCCAATCTTGGTGTTGGCTTTTCAGAATTCTTTAGGTATATTATAGCTTAATAAAAACAAAATGTTTGTTTTTAATGAAATGTTAAAGCCAACCCTGAATGTTGAAGTCTTCATCGTATTGGGTCATACCAACAGGGTAAAGAGGGGACCTAAGATGCATTGCTGGTGGTGGGCATGTTGCTCTGACTCAAGTGATCTATTGCTTAACAAAAATTGACTTACCGTAGTGATAAAGGTAAGGAAATCAAAAATTTCTTTAAAAGTTTACTGTCAAGAATGTCCTGCCCAGAGTTTAGAATTGGACATTTAATGTTATTATGACCTATAGTACATAATTCCTATGGAGATTAATATCTGTAGTCACTTTCCCAGCTTGAGCTACCAGCACTTAGAAGTGTCAATATCCGGGGCGCCTGGGTGGCTCAGTCATTAAGTGTCTGCCTTTGGCTCAGGTCATGATCCCAGGGTCCTGGGACTGAGCCCCATATCAGGCTCCCTGCTTAAAGGGAAGCCTGCTTCTCCCTCTCCCACTCACCCTGCTTGTGTCCCCTCTCTCACTGTCTCTCTCTCTCTGTCAAATAAATAAATAAAATCTTTATTAAAAAAAGTGTCAGT